TCTGTAATGGAATACATTTTAAAAGTAACCTTCCCAACACTGTGAATCAGTGCTCTTGATTATATGAATATGTGATGAGCGCGTTATGTCTGTGTGTACGTTGGAGTGGTTTTCCAAATCTGAATCAGACCTTTGCAGGATGCACCTTGTATGTTTAAAAACTGCCCGCCTAGTGTTAGATTTCTTTTCAGCCTCTCTTTCTGGTGTATACGCTCAGCTCAGACTGCACTGCAAGACCAGCCGGGGAAATGTGTTTGCTCACAACAAAATGTAGTGCACGCTCTAAAGATAGCGAGGCAAATAAAGCAAACATAAACACTGACAGACACGTAAAAACATGGAATTGATTGGCTCCCTCGAGCACAGCCAGCTTAGAGTCTTTATTCTTTTTCAGGGGTGATATTTGCTTCGACTTGTCTGCTTCAGCCCTGAACTGTCCACCACTTGACTAGCTTCTCGACAGCAACTCGAGGGGCTGACGGGAGTCCTTGAGTTGAGCCTATCATGCTCACTCGTTCCACTAATATCAAGTCAAGTCTACTCTTACACCTACTTTTTTTGCACCCAGTTGCCTTCTGTGTTGCTGTCACACAATCTCTCCCTTTTACATTCCTGTCTTTTGTTCTCCCCTCCATCTCAGCGTGTCTCTCGCTACTGCTTTAGGAATTTTTTTCCTTTGAATTTTGATTCCTCCCCAGTGTCTCTCCACCCACCTTTTCTAAAAACTCTCTTTTCCCCTTTCCTCTGTGCATCTCACTGATGCTCTTCTCTGCTTTTCCCTTGATGTTTTTTTTTTTCCATTTGTCTCTTGATTCGTCTCACACTATCTAGCGTTGGTTTTGAACTCACTAGGTCTCTCTTTTTCTCGGTCTTTCTCGGTTTCACATACGCATACAGACACTCTCTTCTCACAAGTTGCCTGCAGATCACAGTTGGCGTGTCTCTCAGTAAGCTGCAGAGTTACCAAGCTTCTTGATTCATAACAGCTATCTGGGTGACCCATTTCTGCACAAGCTCACAGTGCTGTGTTTTTATTGCTTTAATTCAACAGTACATCTACAAGTAAACTACCTCAGTGTGGTTTTCTTTCTGATTATCTGAATTTGGGTTTGGCACATTCAGTTGAGTACGGGTGGGGTGGGGGGGGGACCCCATGGTCCATCATGTGGAAGTAGACCGTGTCATGAGAACTATACTAAACATGTTAAATAAAGTCATAAAGCATATTCATTCAGCTTAGTTTGGGTCCTGATCATCCATGAACCCCCTGCATTGACTCTGTGCTCAACTAATGCTGTGCCCTACAGTTTGGGAACCACTAGTACAAGATAAAAAAGGATAGAACCCTTTTTGCTATTTTATAGCTTGGGCGATCGTGGCTCAAGAGTTGGGAGTTTGCCTTGTAATTGGAAGGTTGCCAGTTCGAGCCCCGGCTTGGACAGTCTTGGTCGTTGTGTCCTTGGGCAAG